AAATGCTTGAGAAAATACATGCATACTGCGATGATCATAATATGATCTGTGTGCTATTATGATGGTCCTCGTGCTCTCATGGTCTCGCATACTGTTGCCGTCATACATGGTGCTGATAAAGGTGATTGAATGTTACCCAAAAGTAGTTTTGGAAAAAATTGAGAAATATTTCAAATTTTTCAGAAAATTTCTGAAAAATTCAGTAATATTTCAGGTGAAATATTTCACGGTCTGGCGGCACCTTACTTCAGCCACCCTGCGTATAAATGCAGAGAAAGGTAAACCGTCTGATTCGTCGGGTGAAGATACCCGTCTTGCGCACTCACCCATCCTAGGCTCACGTCCAACGCGGTGACAGCGCACCACACGTTTCAATTCTACGTGTGATACGTCACGTACGTGGTAGAGTTCCACCAATGTCTTTACGAGTATGGCTCGAGATTCTCCATTACGACTATCCAGACGTCTTTGCTATACTGATAACGATATGCTAGACCTATCCAAACCTGAGCAGATCTGTGACTTGATAACTTGTGCTATCTATGCAGGTCAGTCCTCGACAATTACGTGCCAACACGAACGATCCGTCACTCATCCGTCCCATCTGCGTGAATCGAAGAGGATAGTTTACGCGTACACTTCGACACGCCGAAGCAAAAGGAATTGCTCTTCTTAGTGACTTACAATGAGGCTCCTCGTAACATCACTCTGGTTCTTCTCGTGCGACTTTCTCCACGTTCAAGCAGAAGTGGACGAAAATGGTCATTTCCGTGGGCTCGGTCCTATGAACGGCGATCCCAACGACGAACTCTATTACATGCAGAAGTCTTATCTTGAAGCCATTTCTATACCTGAGGCTTGGGATATCCTGGACTCCACTGCCAAGAGAACACCTGTGACTATCGCAGTTATTGACGACGGAATCGAGGCCACCCACCCTGACTTGAAGGGTGCCGTCATCAAGGGCTACAACGTCGTTGATGAGAATGATGATACCAGTCCTCGAGGACTGCATGGAACCTGCATGGCTGGCATCATTGGCGCTATCAGAATAACAACATCGGTATTGCGGGTATTCTGGACAGTGTGCGCATACTGCCCATATCC